AGCAGAAAGCGGCGTGAGAAGAGATGAGAGACCTCTGGGGAAAGAGACCGAGAAAAGGGGAGGGCCGGGAGTATCAACCAAAGGAGTCTGTAAAGAGCACGGACTCGGTCAGCCACCGAGCAAAAGGTCCTCTCTTGTCAGAGGGCTCCTCCCGTAAGGAGAGTTTGTTAGAGTGATCCCTTTTCAGTGGCTAAGTTGAGATTTTGCCCTCTGTCCGATTGTCTCTTGAGTGCCGAATGAAACCGTTTGAGACAGCTTGGCTGAGCGGCTTTTCGTGACATGTCAAGTTTTCGCGCGAAGCCCTTGTCGGTTGTGTTTGGGCTACGCTAGACCAGGGGCTCAAACTGCTTAAATGCCCCTCGATGATTTTTCTCTTTGCCATACTCACCTGGTCGCCAGTTAAAAATTCAGCACCGGGCAGCCCTGCGGCCGCTGTGGCCCCTTTGCCTACTAAGCACCGGGGTCGATTTCGAGCCGGTTGTCAGTGACACCTCCCTTCGGTACCTGGCCTAAACGCCTTACTGAGCTCGCAAAAGAATGTGGGGTACGAGCAAGGGACCTCAATCTGCCAAGATGATATAGCCAAGAAAAAGTTCCCGAACGTCTTGGCTCAAGTTTTTTGAGGGAAACCTATGCGTGCGCGTGCCTGCGGGCTGCCCGCTCTCAAAGGATACGGTGAAAGAGAGGAAGGGTCCGGGTCGGGCCTGGTACTTGGCTGCTCGGGAAGTATCGGCGGCGAGTCGCGAGTGCGCAGAACCGGTAACAGCAGCGGGGGAGAACTGGAAGCAGCACCTTTTCCAAGGGCAAGCACCCTAGCCGGACAGCGGGGTGGGTAGGTGCTTGGAGTGGCTCAGTGGGTAGGTGCTTCGCGTGGATCAGTGGTTAGGTGTTTGCAGTGGCTCGGTGGGTAGGTGCTTGGAGTCGCTCGGTGGGTAGGTGCTTTGAGTGGCTTAGTGGGTAGTTGCTTGGAGTGGCTCGGCAGGTAGATCCTTGGAGTGACTTGGTTGGTAGGTGCTTGGAATGACTTGGTCGACAGGTGCTTGGAGTGGATCGGTCGATAGGTGCTTGGAGTGGGTTAAGATGCTTGACGTGGCTCGGTCGGTAGGTGCTTGGAGTGGCTCGGTCGATAGGTGTTTGGAGTGGTTCAGTCGGTAGGTGTTTGAAGTGGCTCAACGGGTAGGTGCTTGGAGTGGCTCGGTC